TGCATTAAAATAATTTAACAAGTTTTGACAAGATCTTAGGATATTGTTGTGATGAGAAAAGAATATATCCAATATGATTAAAAAATACACAATTCTTTTTAACATTGACTTTTATCCATGTTTTAAATATTTTTTTTAAAGATATTTGATCCAATGCATCCACTAGGACTTTTACTAAATAAGCAACACGAACATAATAAATAACAATGATACTTATAGAATACTTTTTCTAGGAAGGAAACATTTTGAACCAAATAACTTGAAATTATCTTGGATGTTTATTCAAATAGGGGATAATTTTCAAGATGAGATTGAAATCCCAAATTTGAAGATGTGTCCTAGGATCACTTTCTATAAAGAATTAACATAAAACTCGCTATCCATGATTTTTTCTGATTTTTACTTATTCAATATAACTATTTATTCATTATAAGTTCAAAAGATACAATTTTTTAATTTTATCAATATAATTCCTTTTGAAAGAAACATCAATTGTCATGTGTTTAACCAGGGATAAGGTACCTTTAAAGATAATTATTTCTCGTCAAAACATATAAACTATATATGTACTATCAAGAAGTATAAAAAAATAAATATATATTTGTATTTGCATCAATACAAAAATAAATATATATTATAAAAAAACAAGTGAGAATGAATAAAATAATTTACTACCTATCTATTTATCTATATATATATATATATATATATATATATATATATATATATATATATATATAATTCTCTCTAAAATATATATTTACATTGCATAAATTCTTAATAAAAAATTTTAAGAAAATGAAAAGATAAAATGAGAATGAATAAAATAAAGTTTTCGCTCATAAAGAATTTTTAAAATAAATTTTGTGAATAGTTTTTAAAGCATCAAATATTTACCACTTTATTTCTTTAATTGATATGTTTTACAATATTCAAATGCTAAATTTGAAAAAGTTTTCGATGCTTAAAATTTTTGTAACATAATTTATAAAAGTTGAGCTTGTTTATTTTAATTTTGGTACTTCGAGAAAATATTCAATTATTATTATTGAAAAAATATCAAGAAAGAAAAGCAGGCTGATATTTAATACTATTCTTTAATAATATTTATAGTAATAGAATATAAGAGTTCAAGTTACTTCTAATATAGCTTAAAAAAAAAAATTGTCTGTTATATTTAATTTTTTTTATGTAATTATTTTTATAAGTATTTTTTTTTTTATATTTCGAAAGAATGATGGACTAATATTTTATGAAAGACATTTGGTAAAAGGAAAAAATTTAGTTTTCAAAAATATGAATTTATTATCTTTTAAAAAATATTTCTTTTTTCAAAAGAGTATATACATTTTTAGGAGTTTTCTATTTTTTTCTTAATATGGATAGCTAGAAAATTAAGTTACGAAAAAACATGAGTAAAAATCTTATTAAACCGTTAATTTAATGTGATTAAAAATTAAGATTTTAGTAATAATTGTTTAGAAACTTCATATAAATATTTTAAGTAATAATTTTGGTAAATCAATCCAAGTTTTATTATTTCTAAAAATTAAAATTTTCAGGAGTCGTGAATACTAAAACTGGTTATGGTTATTTCTAAATATAAAAAAAAATTATACAAAATGTCGATAAGAATATTTGGATCTTATATAAAAAAATATCTTATCTTTGTTTATAATAAAATCATATTAATAATTTTTAAAGTATATCTTAATGATATATTTTTTTAAGAAAATTTATCAAGTTATTGAAAAAATATATTTTATTAATATTTAGAGATCAATGTAAAATACTTAAAAACTATATATTTTAATTTTTAATAGCTATTTACAAAATATTTAGAATGAAATTAACGGAGGATTCCCATGAAGCGGGAAAATGACTCGGCTTGTGCTTGCATTCATGTTTGAAAGAATATTTTTGTTTGGTCGGCGGAATAGTTGAAGATTCGTTTTCAACACTGTTGTTGTTGTTACGTAGACGAATGATTTTATAATTTGTTAAATACTATTATTTATAAAAATAAAATAAAATAAAATAAAATATTAATTTAATTTTATATTTTATTAATATATTTAATTCTTTCGATTGATTTTATTAAAAAATATTTAATTTAATTTTACCAAATAAATTTACAGATGTTTATATGATAATTTTATAGTATTTTTAATATGAGATTTTAAATTATTTTCCTCCATTTTAAGGATATGAATCTTGAATTTTCAATAATTTTAATAAATTAATTCTATTTTAACATAAAAAAACAATTTTTTTTTCTAGTCTAAAACAAAATAGTGAAATTGAAAAAAAAGGGAGTTTAATGTAAAATCTTAATTTTATATGTCTATATCCCGTTTTTATATTTAAATTTAAATTTAAATTTTAAAATATTAATATTTTAAAAATATTTATTTTCATTATATATAAGATATATTTTTTATATTTCACAATTTTTACTTTTCATCTACTTATTTTTTAATTTTTTTTATCTTTTTTAATCTTTTATATTCATTGTATTATTATTTTTATTTATCTTTTATTTTTTTTACATTTCTTTAATTTTTTAAATCAATTTATTTTTTTCAATCTTCTCAACCAATTTGATGAACACAAAATTAAATTTTTTTCTTTATTTTTTTAAATATTTCACATAAATCTTAATAGTAACTAATATTATTTTATTTAAATTGTATTTTTATTAGATTTTATTATGTCATATTTTTTTTATATTATTATTCTTATTTATCATATATCAAATTTTATCTTAATAAAAAAATTATATTTTAAAGAATTAAAAGGAATTGATAATTTAAACTTTTATTACTTTGAACTAATTAAATAAGAATTTATTTATTAAATATTTTCTTATAAATTATATATTTCATATTTTTAAATGACAACTTAAAAAAATTAACTTATATAAATATTTGAATACATTATTATTATTATTATTATTATTATTATTATTATTATTATTATTATATTAAAAATATGCATATAAAAAATTGATTAAATATTTTTTTACATACATATTTTTATTTAAATATAATAAATTAAAATATATATTTAATTAATAATTATTATAAATTATAAATATTTATTTATATATAAAAAATACATAAAATATTAAAATTAACTTATTATAAATATAATTATTTTTTAAAAAGTAATAATATAAATTAAGAGGTGGACGATTATAAAAGTCGGGATAGTCCTGTTGCCACGTCAATTCATGATATTGAAAATGGTTTAAAATTTGATGAATTGTTTTAAGAAATATTTTAATAAATTTTTATAAATAATTTATAATAGATACCAGACTAAAAAAGATATTTTAGACTTTTCTAGATTTTTTTATATTGGATATTATATTTTTTTTCTACTAACACACATCATCCATTATATCAAGAAGTTATTGCAATGAAGCCTAGAGTAAAGAAAATACCAAAAGCTTGAGCTATGAAAATATTCTAAGAAAAGTATTTTTGAGCATTTGAGGAGAAAATTACAAATAATTATTTAATTTTCAAAATAATCAGTACCGCATGAATGGGGCTATTTATTTATTGGTCACATCTGAGGTCTTTTTCTCAATCTAAAATGGTCCTTGAATTGGTTTTCAATCATGCATCCATTCCTAGGTTTCATTCATTGTCTCAAAAGTGTGTTGAAAAGTCTTGGACCATTAATTTTTGATTGATGCAAAATGTACCAACCCCACTCGAGTTCAGATTAAGTTGAAAATTTATGATAAATTTTATGAATAAATTTATTTAATTTATTTTCCTAAATATACTTATAAAAAAAATGCATCCGTACATACTTGCTTTCTAAAACTAAAACTATTACAATGAGTTAAATATAGAAAATGTAATAAAATAAGACTTAAATATATTTTTTATCCCATTATTCATTTATTTTGTTTCAGTTGATAAAATATTCAATCTAATTCCTCAATTTTAAAATGTAATAATATGATTCTTTTTTAAGATTTAATCAAGACCCTACGTTGTAAAAATATAATAATGTGATTTTCTTTTTGGCTGAAATTGATTTGATTTTACTACTGATTGGATGAAAACTGATCACATTGTTTTGTTTTTTTCAAATTCAAAGATTTGATAAAACATTTTGTTAATAGTAAGAACAAATTTAATAAAATAAATCATAAAACTAAAGATGGATAAGCCCTTAAATAATGTAAAGTTGATAATAATCCTCAAAGCATTCTTATATCAAATAAAACATTATCTGATCAAACAATTCATTACAATTTACAACATAACAAAAAGTCCAAACTGTCCTTGATCCACTGAACTCTACCTGTCCTTGATCCACAGGATTAAAAAGTTATGTGGATTGCAAGATTGAATCGTAAAATCCAACCCAATCCAACCAAATCCGTTAACAAATTAAATGAGTTGATCCAGTGGATTCAACCTATTATGACATCTTACATCTAGGGTCATTGCACATGAATTTTCAAATGTCTCCCATGTTATCAAAGTCACATAACTACTGATGCTCAAGGAATCACCAATTTAACCATGCTAGTTCATCAGCGTTAACACCTAGATATTGTCTTAAGGTGGTGGTAGGCAAGACTCTATTTGCACTATGTCACTGCCGATGACACAGCTGTAGCAAGCTTCCATGTTAGAGTGACCAAACATGATACAGACAGCATCCTAGAATGCAAACTCGCGTAACATTGCATACTCTAGAATTTTCCAGCATCATGACGAAGGAAAACAGTAAAGTTGGGATCATTTTATTAACAAAGGGATTAACAAGAATACAAATCATTAGTATATGAAAAGTAAGCAGAATATTCTATGCTTATATATGGATAGTATTAGGACAGTCATAGTTTCTGAGCTCTGATTTTATATTAGTGACTAGTGACAGCATCATAGGCTAATGTTTCCTGTGATTAGCAGATTTCTCTACCGAAAAATTTGAATCGACATAGATGTTTAATACAAATTACCTCTATGAAGTCAACCATTGCAAAGGATAGGCTTGCCATTGTAAGTGAGCTCCTTAATTTCTTCCAAATATTTGAAGAAGGAAGATAATGCACTTTTATCATTTTGATTGTCTCTCTTAACCAACCACTCTTCATAAAGTTGGACATTTACATCCCTGTAAAAAATTGTGATCCTAGTTACTAAAAAAGAAGGATAAGAAGGGATGAAACACGGCAAAACAGCACCTATGCATAATTTATTTCCATGAAGAATGTTCAACAAGTAAATTAATATGAACTGAGAAAATAAAACCACAGACACAAGGATGTGAAGGATGTTTTAGAAAGAAAAATCAACACACCTTTTCAAGGCAAGAACTTCATAGTTTCTCCGTAGGTAATCAGCATGGTTTTTAAGGGCATCCTGTGCATATGGTCTGCCGACAGTCCTTATTGCAGCCGCACTTAATAAGGTTTCCAAGGAACCATGTTTTTTAATAAGTTTCAGAGCAGTCTTCCGACCAAAACTAGGGACCAGATGTTGAATACCAGGAACGCCATCAACGTCGTCACCTACAATACATCCTACACAATCACAACATACATAAACCAAAATGTTAGTCATAATGGCATCACCGTTTAGCCATTAAGTAAACAATTTTTTAAGAAGGGTCAGAAAAATTCCACAGCGTTGAATTTTATCTCTGGAACCACATTCTAGTTCTTCATGCTACTGAGGGAGTTCTATTGAATCAGGATACTTAAGTTGAAAAGTCCATTAAAGGCCATCTAATCAACATAATTTCTAACTTGCAGCTTATTCAAATGAATTAAAATATTTGTATAAATAATAAATTTATAAGTTGGCTCAGCCTCACATAGTCCATTAAATGTATAAAATAATAATATATTGAAGACCGGTGTTAAAATGTAGCCGATGAACATATCAAACATAAATAAACTGTAATGTATGTTACACTCACTAAAGCTCAGATCAGATTCTGGGTCACAATTATACTGATCCCTGTAGTGCCTCAGGGTGTAGAAGGACCACCTTTGTAACTCTGGCAAAGGCATAACTATTTGCACATCTTCAGATATAAGTTGCTTAAAATCCTTATCAGGGGAGGCAATAACCACTCGAAAGCCTTTATTGAGAACTTGTCCAGCTAAAGTAGCTACAACATCATCAGCTTCATGACCATCAACTTTTATAACCTGCATGGTTTCATCTCGGCACTAATGAATGATATGATTGAATAAAAAGTAAACTGACTTTTTCACTTTTGCAAACATTTATGAGAATCATACGAGCATATTATTCTAAACTGATTGATAGACATAAACAATAACTTTAAGAATGCTTGAGAAGAAAAGGAATGGTATCATTTTCCTTACTAGTTTTCATATTGCTACATACCTGCAATTATAATCTTGCAATGTAATAAAATATGAAGACAGAATATCAGGGAAACAATGATAAATTTATCGTAAAAGCAAATTAATGTTCTCATTTTCCTGTTAGTTTATGCAGTCAACATCCCAACATCCATGAAATGGGAGGAATGGAAAAGTGGAGCTCAGTAAAAGGGTCAGGTTTTAAGTTTAATTGTTTTTGTATTTACAACTAAGTACTAATCATTTTTCTCAACAAACTTTAAGCTGCTAAAGAAGCAGGCAGCCTAAACTGTCAAGGAAGACCCAAGATTCACATTATTAATGTAGCCCCATCAGTTGAAGGTCCACTAAACATAATTTGTAAACAACACTTAACTTCACTGTGTGCTAAAACTCAGGATAACTAATTGATCTTTTTCCATCTGCATTTGTCCATCTCCTACTGCATCCTCATGTCATCTCCAGTAAGTCTTCAGCCAATTGAATTTTTGAGTTAATATTATGCTAAGTTTAATACATTTTATTTTTATTAGCATACAACTTAATCTTCACACACAAATTTATTGGCTTTCACCATTTTCTGCTATCTGTGGTTTTGATAACATTGTTCCTTAATTAGTGTCCTGAGATCACTAGTTAGAATTTACTAGAAAATATTATTCAATATTCTAAATTTTGATTTCATAGGTTACTTACCTATCTCTGATTCGTTTCATAGGAACCTTTTGAGAACTATGCCTTGGTCGCTTTTATAAGACACTTTCAAAATTGTTATTACATTATTATTTTTCTTTTCACAAAATGCCCTTAATTATTCAATAATTTTTTGTGGTCAATAAACAGTAAAAGCAGTAAATTAGTTTCTTAGACTCTCTCATGAGGACAAGGGAAGATCACTAGCCAAAACCTCCCTCGTAGAATCCAACTATTGGCATAGAATGCAAAAAGTCATTGTTTAAGTGGAGATACAATGATTAATTAGGTGGAAAGACATTAAGACAATGGATTCCTAGTAATTTTAACAGTATTTCTTGACAAATTTCATACTACTAAGAACTAACTAAATTAACTAAACTTTTTAATTCTTGTGTAGTAGTTGAAGGGATAGGTGTAGGACCAGAGGTATTATTTATTATAGACTTTCAGCAAACCTAATTTGTCTTGGACTAATATCTAATCCAAAATTTCCCGGCAAGTTTCTGGTCTACTAAGCTCCTCAGAAAAAAAAGTAATCATGGACATAAATATACAAGAAACGGGCAATAGACATAAATAAACTAATCATGAACTTCATCTGACAAAAACATTTTAGAGGGTCAGTCATACATAAAATTTATCATCATTTTATTCTTGCTGGTTTGAATGATCACAACCAAATGTAAACACACGTTTCTGTTGAGAAATTTATACCCAAATTTTTATGGTTTAACTCAGTAAGTGCTTATAGTTTACCACAAAGAAAACTCAGTAGTAGTGATCATACCAGAAGATTTGGGATCCAATTAATCTCGGATAAGTCAGTAAACATAAGGTTTTGACTACTATTATTGTATGACCATTTCACATAAATAAGTCACATCCTTACTACCTTCATGTCAACTACTGATTCCATACACATTTAAGTGCATGATGGTTTTAATGCATCAGTGATTCTTGTAGTTGCTTTTGGGCATTATATTCAACCTAAAGATAGTCTTTAATATTCTAAATAGAAATAGTTAAAATATGTTCAAAGATTGAGGACAATAATCAGAAATGCCCAAAACATAAAGATATTCTATATAAAATTGCAATAACTTATTATTGCAAATAGAGACAATAGATTGATCTAGTGTTCCATTTATATTTGAACAACAAAAATAGCACGATTCGTCAATTTCCCTGTCAGGCACATCCAAATATGTAGCCTGTGTATGTTTATGTTTCTAAATACGATGGCTTCACAACAAACTTCAGTTCTACAAACCCCATGTACGTACCCAGAAACCAGTGATACGTTTATGATTAAAATAAAACAACGAAGTCAAGTAGCACTTTTTTAAGTTAAGATAGAACTGGAATTTGGAAAAGATATAGACTGTTTCAAAACCCTCCCAAGTGAAATACATTGGCGAATTGAGATAAATTTTCTGTTACACTTGTAGTTCCAGAATTAGGTTTGTGGATTGGGAGAATAACTAATTTTCAACTAGTAGGAAGCCAAGCATGCATCACTTTTTATGCAAGTTTTAGCAATAAAATAATATATTATAAGAAATGAAGCACATTACTCGTCAATATAAAAATTATATACAAACACACCTACAATTCAGAAGGAAATAGAAAAATAGTAATGATACAAATCAACTCACTGGCACGTTGCATTTTCCAAGAACATCATTTATAACTTGATGGGACCTCCCAACATGGCCACTTGAAAATGTTTGCAAAGATGACATGTGTCTCATGAACTTTTTCCTATGTGCTTTATATGAAGGTAGCAATTTTCTGCGATGCTCACTGCCCCTTTCTCCATCAATAACCTGCTCAATCATTTCAATGACTAAGAAAGAGACAAAGGAAAAAAGGAAAAAAAAAAAAAAAAAAGCAAGGAAAAGCAGAGATAACCAAAGAAACACAATACCTAATGAACTTTTTCTTTTGATAGAAGGAAAATATTCTGACAGAGATTTCAGAAGAAATGCGCCTATGTAGCAGTAAATGGTTTGGAGTCATTGAATGATGGAAATTATATATGTTGAGATATGATGTTTTTCTATCTTTCCTTATACTAGGGTTAAGGGTTTGGGCAGAGACCCATATCTTCTCTATTGTATCTCTTTTATCTATAATACAATGTAACAGTGCCTTTTGACATTGTATTGGAAACCCTAAATAAGTTTCTCAAGATGGTATCAGACCGGGCACGATCCCGTAGTGATTTCCTGTCATTCCTGTCATCTTCGGCCACCGTGGACCGTCGTCCGCCGTCGTCTGCCGCCAACCACCGTGATGAGACCCTAGTTACCCCGGAGACGGAAGAGGTCATCCCTAGGAGGATCACTAGAAGCATGACTAAAAGGGAGACTTCCTCCTCACCCTTCATTTTTAATTTACTAAGTATTTTCTTTACCTATGTTTTTTTTTACTTATTTTCGCTTTTATTTTGTAGGCTCATTTTGTGCACCTCCTTTTTGAAGAATACCACATTTTTTTGTTGGAAAAGAGGGTTTGGATACATAGGATACATGTGTGGGCAGCCCAAAGGTGTAAGACACTCCTTTTTCATGTCCTACACCCCTTTTTGGAGAGGAAAAAGCTTAGGATGCGGGATTGGTAGGCTTGGGACAACCCAAAAGGAAGTACACTTCCTTTTTTATGTTCTCCACACCCTTAGAGGCATATTTGGTGGGCTAAGACGAATTTAACATATTTGGACAATGGGACTCTAGCCTTTAGGTTTAGGTTAAATTTATGTCTCATTTTGTAATTCCATCTAGGTTCCTCCCCCAAAAGCCTATAAATAGAAGGCTTCCCCTCATGTAATGAGGTTGAACATTTATGACAAGTTTGTGAGGTTTCTTAGAGTGTTCCATCTTTTTGAGTGTCTTATCTTGATTCAAGTGGCGGCAACCACTACTTATCTAGGGTGGCTCATCCCCTAGTGGCATGCCAACACTCCATCACCGCCATACTTCTTTTCTCTTCATCTTTTCTTCTTTATTTCTTCACTCCATTTATTTATATAAGGGGCTGATCCATTTTTCGAGCCCTTGTCTTTATTCTTTTCTAGTTTCATTCCATTTCTTCCTCCCTCCATAATCCTTGAAAATGAACCTTCATATCTAGAAAGGCAACTATTTTAATGTCCAGTGAGAATTTTTCTTGGGTTTGCTTACTTTATTGCTTAAAATTCTGCAACTTATCTTTTTAAAATTTTGCACCTTACTTTATTTTACATTACACCGTGTCATTTTGGTATGGTGAAGGTAAGGTTAAGGGTGCCTCGAAGACCGCGACTCACCCCTGCAAGTCGCTCCTCCGTCAACTGCCCCACGCGCCATTATGTGCGGTCGTTCCAGAGGGTCGTCTCTGTGCATGTGTCCCACGCGCCGCCTTCCAGTGGCCGGAATCAAGGCCGATCACCTTTGTTTGACTCGTCGATGCCCTCTGAGTCATGTGGTGCCCTTATTTTTTGTTTTGACAACTTTGGAAGCTAGGTCATGTGAGTACCCTATTGGTTAGGTTTATCTTTCATCTCTGTTTCAGATAAATGGCTTCATCTAGTGTTTTCTTTTAATGTTCCTATTGCAAGAAAATGAGGCACACACAAGAAAATTGTTATTCCTTACACGATTTTCCTACCAGGAATACCACTTCCCATGTTTCTAAGTCTGAAAAACCGGATTTGAAAATCTTTCATAAGGAGTATCAAGAGTTTTTGAAGTTCAAATCAGGAAAATTAAACAGTCATGGTCAATCTGGTTTTATGCCTAGTGTTTCAACAATATGCATTTCTCAATCTGTGGAATGTCAAAACCTATGGATTCTTGTTTCAGGTGCCTCTGATTATATATTTGGTACCAGTTCCTCATTTTCCTCCATGTCCTATCCTAAAATTCCTCACCTTATTACTGTGGCTAATGGATCTAAAGTAAAATCACAAGGAATTGGCCATGTTCCTTTAACCCCTTCTTTGAATTTAAATTCTATTCTTTTCATTCCTAATTGTCCTTATAACTTGATTTTTCTAAGTTAATTGACTCATTTTCTGAATTGTTCTGTCATCTTTAATTCCAATTTTTTTGTTATTCAGGAACATGGTATGGGTCCTCTGATTGGAGAAGGTCATGAATCACGTGGTTTGTATTATCTAAATCTAAATCCTTCGGTGTCATGTCTTGTTTCTCCTTCTCCTAAACTTTTGCATGATCATCTGGGTCACCCAAGTTTACCAAAGTTGAAAGTAATGACTCCTAATCTCAAACATCTTCGTGGTTTAGAATATGAATCTTGCCAATTAGGAAAACATGTTAGGTTTACTTTTCCTAAACACTCTGAAACTCCATGTAATTTTCTTTTCTCAAATATTCATTCTGATGTTTGGGGACCGAGTCGTGTCTCTTCATTTGACTTTCGATATTTTATAACCTTTATTGATGAATTTTCCAGTTGTACTTGGATTTATTTAATGAAAGATGGATCTGAAATTTTGTTCACTTTTGTGTCCTTCAATGAAATTAAAAATCAATTTGGGAAGATAATTAAAGTTCTTAGAAGTGATAATGCCAAAGAATATTTTTCAGCCTCCTTCTCTTCTTTTTTATCTTCCTAAGGCATTTTACATCAATCAACTTGCCCTCACACTCCACAGCAAAATGGTATTGCAGAAAGGAAAAATAAGCATCTTATTGAGACTACACGCTCTCTAATGTTTAATGCCAATATTCCTGTTCATCATTGGGGAGATGCAGTTCTCACTGCTTGTTTTCTGATCAACCGCATGCCATCTTCTCTTCAAAATCAAATTCTTCATTCCCTTATCTTTTCAGATGATCCTCTTTATCGTGTGTATCCTCGTGTATTTGATTGTATTTGTTTTGTCCATAATGTCTCTCCAGATCTGGATAAGTTAGATGCTAAAGCTATTAAATGTGTCTTCTTAGGGTACTCTCGCCTACAAATGTTATTCTCCATCCACCAAAAGGTATTACATGTCTGCTGATGTCACCTTCTTTGAGGAAACACCCTTCTTTTCTTCCTCCATGGAAGACGATTCCTCTATTCAAAATGTTCTTCCTATACCCTCATGTGATCCATTTATAATACTTGATCCTTTACCAATTCAACCTACAGGTCTCAATCCTCCTCTTTTCCTTGCTATGGTTGTTATTCGTCATTGGCCCATTCACCAACTGGACATTAAAAATGCTTTTCTTCATGGTGACCTTGAGGAAGAGATTTATATGGAGCTCAGGGGGAGTCTGGTTTAATGTGCAAGTTACACCGATCTCTTTATGGCTTGAAGTAGTCACCCCGAACTTGGTTTGGGAAATTCAGTCATGTTGTACAGTTGTTTGGCTTGAAAAGGAGTGAAGCAGATCACTCAGTGTTTTATTGTCATGGAAATTCAGTCATGTTGTATAGTTGTTTGGCTTGAAAAGGAGTGAAGCAGATCACTCAGTGTTTTATTGTCATTCCTCTTCAGGCAAGTGTGTGTATCTTATCATTTATGTTGATGATATTGTTATTACTGGCAATGATTATACTAAGATCAGCCAACTGAAGAATCATCTATTTGCTCACTTTCAAACCAAAGACCTTGGTCAATTGAAGTATTTCCTTGGTATTGAGGTGACTCAGTCAAATGAAGATGTGATCATCTCTCAGAGGAAGTATGCCCTTGATATTCTAAAAAAGACAGGTTTAACAAATTGTAAACCCATTGATATCCCAATTGACCCTAATCAGAAATTGATGGGAGATAAAGGAGAAAAGTTGTCAAATCCAGAAATATACAGGAGGTTGGTTGGAAAACCCTTTTATCTTACTATTACCCGACCTGATCTTATGCAGTTGGAGTAGTTAGTTACTTTATGCAAAATCCTTGTACTGAATTATTGGGAAGCCTTGATTCGCATTCTAAGATATATTAAAGGAGTCCCAGGACAAGGATTATTATATGAAGTAAGGGTAATACTCAAATTCTAGGTTATTGTGATGCAGATTGGACTGGTTGTCCCATTGATAAAAGATCTACTACTGGGTATTGTATCTTTATTGGAGGGAATTTGATTTCTTGGAAGAGTAAAAAGCAAAGTGTTGTTGCTCAATCTAGTGTAGAAGATGAGTATAGATTAATGGCACTTGCTACATGTGAACTTGTGTGGATCAAACAATTTCTTCAAGAATTAAAATTCTGTGATAATGGGCAGATGAAGTTGTTTTGTGACAATCAAGCAGCTCTCTATATTGCCTCTAACTCAGTCTTTCATGAAAGAACAAAATATATCGAGATTGATTGTCACTTTGTTAGAGAAAAGTTAGTGTCTAAGGAACTTGTAACTGAATTTGTAAGCTCCAATGAGCATACAAATCCTTGAGAGGTCCTAGGACTCACTTTATTTGTTCCAAACTTGGTACATACAATCTATATGCTCCAGCTTGAGGGGGAGTGTTGAGATATGATGTTTTTCTATCTTTTCTAACACTAGGGTTAAGGGTTTGGGCTGAGGCTCATATCTTCTCTATTGTATCTCTTTTATCTATAAATACAATGTAACAATGCCTTTTGACACTGTATTGGAAACCCTAAATAAGTTTCTCAAGTATATATACAAACTCTAAGTATTCATTCCATCATCAAATTAAATGATTGAAACTACATACGTGCAATTAAGTATTCACTCCATCATCAAATTTGTTGTGACCCAGGAACATTTTACTGAAAAATGCATATTCGAAGAAAGTGCATCAAGCTTAAGTGAGAGTTGTGCTGCTTGCCGTGGCCTTATTCAGCTTAAAGAGGATTTCCCACTGTTAAAAATACTCATGCTCTCTAAAAAAATTACAATTTGAATTTTACCAGGATAATTTATATATACTTAGATACACTTCTTCCTAACTATTATAAGGAAAAAAAAAAAAGATGAGATAAGTTTCTTCCTAAAGTAAAATTAACTTGTATATAAACTAAAATGAATTATTCTTATTTATAAGAGAAAACTAATGGAAGACAGTTATTACAGAAAGCTAAACTGCTATAAAGAAAGCTTAGCAACAACTACTAACCATCTAACAACTATACTAGTTTGTATGAGCATCTCCAATATTCTCTAAAAGGATTATTTTTTAATACTTGAGCTAAGAAGGGTATTTCATTTTTCTTCCCTAATATTTATTCTTTAAATGTTTATAGGGAAATGTATCCCATCTGAACATAATAAAGTTTGTCGTATCAAAGGTTAGTTTGAACTCAAATTCTAATAAGAAAAGATATTATCAAAAAGTAAGCCCTTACATCTAAATTTCATGTTCACAAACAAGTGGAGTTAGAGAGATTACAGCAATGACGGGGTCAGTGAGGCTGACTTGAGAAAGAAACAGGGAGAGCCACCGCCCGAAGGAGTGCAAGCTGGGCTTGCTTCCTTCGTAACAGAGCGGGTTAACGTCCAAAAAAAACACCCTGTTCTTCTTTTCGGAAAGAGGTTGCCCACCACGTGTTTGATCGAATGACTCAGTGAACAGGGCCTTCTCTGTTTTCGTGGTTGCCCGTGCAGTGGCGGTATTTTGGGTTCTGCAGGACGCGGAGAGAGTCGGGTTGCGGTTGCAAGGGAAGCAAGGCTGAAGGTAAGCGTATGTCAACATACTCATTTCCAATGTTTTCATCATCTTCTCAATATGCATTAGTCGTGGTTACCTTCTCAACACTCGTCGAGATATGTGGGATGTAAGGAAAATAGATTATGTTTTTATTCTTAGAAGTAGAATACGGTGCATACACATGTCACGTGCAATAGTTCTGTAGTTGTTAACGAATGAATAAGTCATTTTCAAAAAGTATTAATGAATATTTAAATACTTTAAAATTTAATTTAATTTTCATGCTGTTAATTGAAAATATATAATTTTTGTTGACAAAATTTTAGTTTTATAAAATTAACAAGCTTTGGTTTAAATTTCTATAAAAAAAAATTTTCGTCTGTATAAACTTTTAAATAAATATTTTACTCCTTGAAAGATATGTGAATTTTGTTTTAGATTTTATATAAAAAAATTATTTCATTTTAATTTTTTAAAAGTTTAATTAATTTTAATCCCCAATATTCATTTTAAGATATATAATTAACATTTATTTTATTAATATTGAAAGTTCATTTCAGATATTACGATATTATTTGACAACACTATTATTATATACATTAGGATAAAAATAGTAAGAGGAAAAACAAATTTTTATTTCCAGATACTAAAATCAAAACTCAATAATTTATGGGCACCAAAAACATGGATAATCATATATTGGTATATAAATACATTGAGATAATTGACAAATAGTTAAATGGCCACAAAATTTAATTATCTACTTAGTTACTAATTTCTATTGAGGCACAAATTTTAGGATAAAACTGTAAAACTAATTTTAATCTTTGAAAAAGCTAATTTTATTTCATCTTCTTTTTCTTTTTTTTCTCCAATCCTTATGAAAAGTTTTTTAAACCGACCCAAGGTAATAAATAAGAATTATGAAAAATAGTTAAAAAAAAACTAAAAACATTCATTTTAAAATTATAGGGACAAAGATTAATTTTACAAAAAATTAAAGAAATCATCAATTTAATTATCATACTGGTAAGTAAGAATTTGTATTTTTGTACGAAGTTAATTCCTTCGTTAGATTTGAATATCTCGAAAAATTAAATAGCAAGTACTTGGACTCACAAAAAGAATTGTTTTTAAATATTAAAGACTAAAACCATTAGAAAAGGTGTAAATTGTCACATAACAGTGTAAAAACACATCAAGATAAATGAGAAATAATCAAATTACCATAAAATATAATATAATTAATCAAACTAAGTTACTTAATTTCTATTAAAGCACACATGTATGAAAATTTTTATTAGAGATCATTTAATACCATGAGATGTTTTAAAGTAGTATTTAAAACCAATGACCACTGTTGTTATTATAATAATAATAATAATAATAATAATAATAATAATAATAATTATTATTATTATTATTATTATTATTATTATTATTATTATTATTATTATTATTTACCTCTAATTTATGTTTTGAATGGTTTTATTGTGCTAACTTTTCTTATTAATATTTTTTTATTTTATTTTTAATTTTTTTTCCAAAAAAGTTGCATTAACAAACCGGAAATACGACTAATGAGAAATTAATATATAAAAATTAATTATTATATAAAAATAAATACATTATATAAAATACTTATTTTTATATATATTCAATATTATTATTTAAATTTAAATTTAGAAAACTATAACATTTTTTCATTTATCTTCTTTTAAAAAGAAATAGTGTATAATTTTCCTTTTAAACCTCTTTAACCATTAACTTGAATTACTCCATTTACATTTTAATATTAAAATAAAATATTATAAAACATTAAAATTATTAACTAATTAATAAAAAAAATTATATCAATATTTCATATTTTTATATTATACTACACATCTTAATTTGTTATACTAATAAAAAAATAATTTTGTTTACTGTTTTTTACTTTAAAAAAATTATTGTAGAATATTATTTTTATGTTTAACTTATGTGAACAAAAAATAAATAAAAAAAATTAAAGAAAAAAAGTTATAATTTTTATGCTATAAAGATGAAATTATAAAAAACAAAAATGTTAAAATTAAGGGAAAAGAAACCATGAAAGAGAAGAATACGAAAGTAAATGAATGTAAAAAAAAAAAAAAAGATAGAAATGTGAGAAAAAGTTGAAGTGGGAAAGTGAATAGGTGAAAGAAGAAAAGATAAAAATATAAATATAGAAGAAAGAAAAAAAAATATATATATATATATATATATATATATATATATAAAATTAAAAATTATGTAGGAGAATAAATATGATATTTATCATTCAAAATAATTTAATTTTAATTATATTTATAAAATAGTTTTTATTTAATTTTTAAAAATAATTATATATATAATTGAGGAGGGGGAAAAGGGGGGTGTGTGACCTGTAGACCTCAAATCTTGTCCGACCTCAAAATAAGAGCAAAAGACCTCCTATTCGAAGATGGACAGAGCCTAAAAATGCACTAGGAGAGGCTATTAGACCCTATATTAGAGTAGGAAGACTTTTCTATGCAAAAAATAAGGATTTTTGCCTTCAGGGATCGAGACCGCCGTCTCGCTTTTCGGGACCGCCGTCTTGACCAATGGCAAGTCGAGACCGTCATCTGGTTTGGCGAGACGGCCGTCTCGCCACTTACCATTGGCGAGACCCCCCTCCCATTTGGCGAGCCTCTCGTCATCTGACAAGTTGAGACCGTCGTCTCGCCACTTATCCAAGTCGAGACCGCCGTCCCGAATGGCGAGACCGCCGTCTCGACTTGACAGGCGCGAATCCCTATAAATAGGGGCGCTCTCCCCTTCATTTCACACAGTTCTTTCACTTCCCCTACTGCACTTTCTCAAAATTCTTCTCTTAGAGGCCCTCCGAAGCATTTCCGGAGTTTCTGAGTTTTTAAGAGAGCTTTTTATAGTATTTTCGAGAGAGAATTCGACGTTGTAAGAACGAAGGGCTGCCAAAACGCACCCTAATTTTTACGAGAATTAATCAAAAGCTTGCTCCGGAGGTTTCTTCACTCTCTCCTTCTCTTTTACTGTTATTTTTACTTATATTAAATTGCGCAATAGTTATTAGGGCCATGTAGTCATCATTTTAATTCCGCAAATAAAAGGGTAAAAGCGTTATTTCAAAAGTTTATTTATAAAATAACTGGCCTGTCATTGGGAACCCGAAAGGGGCATCGTAAGGGAGCTAATACCTCCCTTACACGTAACTAACTCCCTTACCCAACTCTGGTTTTAACGACCAAAGTCGGTTTTTCTTAAAAAACCAACGCCTTTTTCTTTCCTTTTTCGATGTTTTTGGTAAAAACATTGGTGGCGACTGCATAAGAACCCTTTCAAACTTGTTCTTAGGTCAGCCCGGTTATTGGACGATTTAAGAACACCCTTTCAAAAACCTCACCCTTTGGTTCAACCCGGTTATCGGACAACCTAAAGGCGTTGTAACCTCACCCATAAAAAACGTGAAAAATAGAAAATCGGAACCATCGCGTCGCTCTGACCGCCTCTTTTGACAGCGGCGACAGATGGCGACTTCATTGGGGAAGCCTAGAGAGTTGATCCTATTTAGTGATGGGTCAGTTTAATAAATAAACTAAGAAATTTCGCTTTTTCCCTACCTTGTATTATAACATGCTTTAATTACTTGGCTTTAATAACTTTTGTTTGTTTATTTTATGCAATTGTTTGAAATAAAAATTGTACACAAACCTTTGCACAAAACAGTTCCCTCTATACCCGGGGGAAAGTGAGAAATTCATAGGGAAAGGGTGGCAGGTACGGTTTGCCGTAGTGAGGGCCATGTGCCCATCGGTATGATCGGAAATCGCCACTCAAGGTGATAACCTTCCTCTTTTGGCACAAAGACTGACTATGACCATAGTGCTAAGTAGTCGGAAGGCTGGAGAGTGGGGACCCTATAATGGGGGCACCTTGGGGGCCTAAGCCTTGGTGAGAACAGTTATAACCTACCCTTGCCAATGCACTTTTCTACAGGAAAACCCTACCTCATGATTAAAACGACTTCTCACGCGTTCGCGGATGAATGAATTGTATGTGCATTTGTTTGTTGCATTTGATTGCATAGCATAACCAAACAACAGAAAAATCACAAAAAGGAACATCTTTTACAATAAACACCCTTATCTCGGACAGTCTGCCTTTTAGCTAGCCTGGTTTCAGGTTCTTTGTAAGCTAAGTAGCCACGCAGTCCGACAGAAGAGATAAGGGAGACTAATATTCTTTCGTAATAAACCATTTTATCTCGGACAGTCTGCCTTTTAGCTAGCTTGGTTTCAGGTTCTTTGTAAGCTAACTAGTCACGCAATCCGATAGAAGAGATAAAAGGCTCTAAAACAAAATAAAATCAAATACCCAAATCAAATAAATGGGACCTTGTTCATAAACATTAAATTCATAAATCATCCATATAGTTAGTTTATTTTTCCAAAAAATAAATGCGCAAATACTATCATCATGTAGAAATAAAACATGATAAACATTTAGGTAAAAACAAACACGCATACCCACAATTAGCATCATGTTCATAAAACATGCATTTTGGTTTTTAGAAAATGGAGGGGACTAGTAGACAATTGAAGAAAGTGGACATTCCCCTGTACAATACTGAGAAGATGGAACGACTTTGCGCGATAATACCACCAGAGGTCCGCTCCGACTTCGAAAAATCCTATGGACGGATCCTTGACCTATTGAAGATTTGTGTCGATCCCATTTTTATCAGGGTTCTAGTTCATTTTTGGAACTCTAGTCTGCACTGCTTCGAATTCCCGCAGTTCGATATGGTGCTCACTTTGAAGGAGTACAAACTTATGCTAAAATGGCCCAAATTAGCCGGGGTCCATATTCGCCATGGGGCATATGCTTCTGCAGCACAAGTCGCTGCCATCATCCGACTGCCATTCCGGCAGACTACCCTGATAGAAAAAGGGAACATCCAGGGTTGGAAAGTCTCAATGTTAGAAGATCATCTGTCCTCTTTGGTTGAAAGGGCAGAATGAGTAGCTTTTAACAAAACCCTGGCCTTGATCATATTTGGAACA